AGTGATCTTCTCTCATCAAAATTTTTGGATAATCCTATTTTACAGGGGGTTGTGGATCAATCACCTCCTCCTCCATAAAATACAATTAGCTAAACAAAATTAACCAGTTTAATATTTTTACGGTATATTATAAAAAAATATTAAACTGGTTAATTTTTTGTTTTACATTTTTAAATGCTAATAAAATTAAACATACATTATTTTTACACCCATGTGTAAATAATTATTTTTTTAAGTCAACATTTGTTATGAAGAATAATATCAAAGAAAAAATATTTTCAGTCAACTTTAAACCGCAAAAATTTAAATGCAATATCAATCTCTATCTTCTGGCCACCTGATTCCTCTTTTCTCACACCCTGTGCATTAATGGTTGTGTACTGCCTTGCATGCAGTGATACCGATTATAAAAAAAAATTATTTGACTAATTTTTGGTAGTAGTACTAACTTCTTGCATTGCTTGCTGTGGCATATTTGGAAGATGATGTTAAATTTCAGAAAATATCTACCAATGATATCAAAGTGGTAAGGTTATCCTGAATGAAAACAAGATTTGGAAATTTGGACTTGTACATAGATTTAACAAACATGAAGCAGGGATGATGAAAATGAACCCCTGATGCAAGATAATTATGAAAATAAGGGACAGATTCAAGAAAATGGGATACTTAATGAAAGAAATAATAAGACTGCTGCTTTTAAAATTATCATTCTAGTGATAACAATCAATTTTAGCATTAAAATCATAAAAATGATGACGTGATTCAAGAAAATGTGATAAAAATGCTGAAGATTCACGACCAAGAAGTTATATTAAAAGAAGTAACTGATGTTAAGCAAAAACAAAATATATTTTAATATGAAAAATTATCATGTATATGAATATTTACTTTATACACAAGTCAAAGAAACTGTATCAACAAGTTGGGTGATCACTGATAATGAAAAGATAATGAACTGTGGCAAAGAGTCACATGTTCAGTTGTGACAAAAATACTGAATCACAAATATTGGCTGAGGAAAAAGAAAAAAAAAAACAGGCAGATATGTGATGTCATTTTCTGTAAGTCTCCTTTAATTTAGATTTCTAATCTGAATTTAACCCTCATTATTTGTTCCTTAGTAACCTTTATTTCTATTAGAGATAAGGACAACATGTATAACCCTTGAGCTATAGTAATTCCATTCTCTATTTGTTTCCTAATATTACTTATCCAACAAACATCAAATGATAGGTCAGGATGAGTTTGAACAGATACCTACATCACCTAATCTGATGATGTGGGTATCTGTTCAAACTCATTTTGACCTATCATTTGATGACTGTTGGATCCATAATACTATGAGACTTTCAAAAGTCAAAATCCTGTTTGAAACTAATAAAGCATTATTAAAAATGAAGTCTAAAAAGTGTTTCATATCATCTCTGACATTGGGAGACTCTTTGATTCTCAGCATTATCTGCTATTCTGATCCCATTGATATTCACTCGGAAGTGGTGTTTTGCTGTCTTTGTGAGAGGCATTTCAAACAAAATGGCTCCAATATGATGGTTACCAAAACATCTGGATCATGTTTACAAGGAAACTTGTGGGTTCAAAAACTCTTGAAGTGTTGGATGCTGGGGTTTTGGTGACAGCAATGATTGAGGAAGTGTTTCAATTTCCCAAGTTACCACAAATCTTATTAATCAGTTGTGGAAACTTGGAATTTAACTAACCTTGTCAATGATTATTGTCAACAGATAGGTGTGGCAAGGATAACAGAAATGATAACTAAGAAAGAAATTCATGTAGAATGGTTCAGAGATCAGAAACAAATTTCTGACTGTTTAGCAAAGGCAAGGCTTTCACTGGGGATTTGAGAGAGAGTGCTTTCATTAATGAAGACTGAATACTGCATATATATATATATATATATATATATATATATAACATGATGTGACCATAAACTCAAGACACCTGTATTGTTGGTGTTTGCTTATCTCCCTTTGAACTTTGGCCTTTCCACATTGTGATTGGTACATATATATAGATTAACACCTTTTGGGTGGTTTGGTTTGAATGAAAATATAGTAAAGCACTGTTTGACTAAAAATACAAACTTAAACATGTATTGTTGTTGAGTAAATTGTAGAACCCAAATTTATTTCTTAGGTTTTATTCAATAAAGAATGTCGCAATAAACACAACAATAATCAATATGAGCTTTCAGCAAGAAAGTCCACAGATTTCTCATGAGAAAATGGGGAGAATATAAAGTCTTGTTATTGATTATGCTAGTAATAGCTCAGTGAATTGTCATTAAAATATACAAGAGTGCATAACATCAAATTGCCAAAAGCACAACTGTCAATAAATATACAAAGTAAAAAAGTTTGTCTAAAAAATGTTGATGTGATTTGAAAAAAATCAATTACTACAAGTATGGTTCTTCTTTCTCAGTCAAAATAACACAAGTTAAAATCAACTTGAAGCACCCTGTTAAACAAATAATCACTTCTACAACTCTCAATGTTTAGCAAGTGTGTCATAAGAAAAACTGAAATTATTACTCAAGAAAACAAAATTGTGACTTAGCTACAGTATACAGTGTCAAAATGTCCTATAGAGTCCTTTTCTTTTCTCTAAAATACCCAACCCTAAAATGTCTGGTACCAAAACACTCAATTCTAGATTTTGAATGCGGATTCCCAAAGGAAGCAGGCCCTTCCCCTTCAGAGATTGGCATGTTATAATCTTTCTATCCTTTCATGTCTATTGATTTGGTCACATGCCCTGGTAAGCTCAGTACTGAAATTAGTTTCATAAATTTTTTCAGTACATTTTCTTATAGATAATGAATTCAAACATACAGCAAACTTTTATAGTTTTAGAAAATAAATATTTATAGACGTATATGAATAGAGAAAGTTCAGTTTTAAAAGAATCAATTACCCCATTTTCATTAACTTCTGAGATAAAATTCCTCTTTTGTGAAATTTTATAGGCATCTGACTATGTAAAAATTCAAGAATCACTTTTATTGACTGGCAAACTATGATGGAACACTTGCAATTTTTCATTTCTGGAAAATTTTCTGGAATAATCCAAGGCAGCATAAATGGACATCTAAATGCAAACAGCAGCAATAAAATTCCATAATGTTATCAGATATGACCAGTTAAGATATACTTTAATGAAGCTGTGTTAATGTATTTGCAATGCAAGTGTCCCCCACTCCCCACCCAAGATTTCTCTTACCTTTGGTTCTACTCTCTTTTTGCTTTATATTAATCATCGACCAAGGAACATTCATAGATCATTAGTAAACATTTATGCAGATGATATACCATCATTTATGGATGCACCTCCAAAACTCTAGATGAACAAAGTCTAGAAGCTTGTCTTTCCTCTGATAAATCTTCAACAGCTCAGTGGGGGGGGGGAACTGGCTTCAAAATCAAGATATTAAAATTCCATCATCACTGAGCAGATCCTGAATTTTCTTCAGCTATGATGAATGGCTGTACTCACAATGAGGCTCCTTGTCTTGGATATCTACTGGTGATTCAAGCTCACTCCTCAAGTGGAACTCATATGTATGATCCATCACTAAAAGTGTTAGAAAAATGGTTGGTTCCTTGTGCAGCTCCAGAAAGTGCCTGACTTCTCCTGCTGTGCTCTATCTTTTGAAAAGAGTCAGATCAGACTGAAAATGGAGTAATTTTGCCATCATATCTAGGCTGGAGCTGTCCAACCCTAACTCTATTTGTCTTTGACATTTTGGCAGGTTTGTTGTCAATGAATTATTCTGAACCCTGTTTACTGCTTTCCCATTTTAAAAATTGCTGTCAAGTAGGAAAAAAATCATCTGTTGTAAGCCTATTGTTAATCTATTACTATTTTCATCATAAACGTTTGGATGAAATACATTCCTTAGTGCCACCAGTTCAGATCTTTAGAGATAGGACCTGCCATACAACATACACCGGGTATAATCATCCTCATTCCCTTCGTATACCTTCGTATTACATTTCACTCAGAGTGCTTCTTGTTGAGAACCACTGCTTTCTCGAACAGATTCCCAAGAGGATGCTTCTTTGGTTTCTACAATTTGAACCTCTTTAAATCTGGAGGCATCCATTATCTACTCTACATGTCCTCATATTCTGCACTTACTTTCTTTTCTTAGTTCCATACAATCAACTCACTCATTAACCCATTACTTTGAGTGGCTCTTGGGTCTTATATTGGATGAACATTTAGTTTAAAAATATCAAGATGTCACACCAGACAAATATTTTTATCTTACTAAAGCATCAGTTTACGCTTTGCAAGAGGTTAAGATTTGATTCACAGATGGTTATATTGATGCTAAAATAATTCCTGAGCTCTTCAGTATTTTTTCTATCAGAATTAAGATATTCCAAACTGCTGGTGATATATAGATATGAAAAGTAGTCCCAAATTACTATTTAAACCAATTGGAAACTAGTGAAATGTAAAGCTGAGATAGCTTCTTTTTTTTTTTTGCAAACTTTGTAATCAATTACAAATTTATTATTGTTGATATGCATCAAGATTCATTTTCCTTGACAACAAACATGAGTATGGAGAGTAGCTTTGTTTACATGGTGTGAAAATATTCAGAGCAATTTGTAGATTGAAAGATAAAAAGTAAATTACATTTATTTCTGGTAAGTTTCCAAAGAAAAAAAATACCCTGATCAGTAGAAAATACAATGTTCATTAAAAGAGAAATTGCAGTCACATATTGTATGGTTACAAATATTAATTTTTTACTATTTCTGTAGAACAGAAAAGAGGTAGAACCCCCTGAACTATAATTTTGTTTTTGATACATGAAAGTATTTTCCTGGTTCTAGTAGATATATTTATGCAAAAAATTGAGAGTTATACAGCAAGCAAGCAAACAAACAAACAATAGATAGATAGATAGATAGATAGATAGATAGATAGATAGATAGATAGATAGATAGATAGATAAAATTACCTACCTGAGAGCAATTTTTAAAGTAGTCAAATCCTCAGTAGGTTCTTCTGGTTTGTTGAAATCACTTGGAGACTGAGTGCCTGACTGTAGAATACTCAACTCTTTATACTCAATACTCAGCAACTGTTGAGCATCATATTCATCTCGAAATAATTGATAAGCATCCTTCAGCTTTTCTTCAGCTTCTTTCCTTTCCTCTTCAATCTGGACCAGTTTTTCTTTCATTAGTTCTATTTCTTCTTCCAATTCAGAGTTTTGATTTTTCACAGCTTTTATATCTATCACCACACACACACACACACACACACACACACACACACACCACACACACAAAACAAGAAAAGAATTCAATAAGATCATTATTGCAAACATTTAGAAGATTCCTAGATAATATGTAGGAAAATAAAGATGAAAAAAATTTTCAGTAAACTAAAACTTGAAATATATCTGATGTGTAAGAGACTTCTTTGTAGCATTAAGCTAAACTTTCTTTTTTTAATCATTTCACTCCAAGCAGGGGAATAAAGCCACTAGGTTACTCAGTGTTAGAGAATATGAGAAAAACTACTATTAAGGAGAGAGGACAATAAAAATTAAAAAGACAGAAGAGATGAGGTATTATGTACACTATTTACATTATTCAGACTATTGACCTCATCTTTGTTGCCATATTTATCACAACATTTCCGCTGTTGTACACTCCGGCTTTCTTCAGGTGGCTGGAATGTCGAACTGAATCCTTTATTTCACTCGCTGGGGTAGACCGTTCTAGTTTCATGTGCCATGTCTAATGGATATCAGTTATTATCCTGTTAATTTCCCTCTCCAAGTTCTCCACTCCCTTAACCAGGTATTGAACTCACACTCCTTGGGTCCTGTCACTGGATCTAACTAACACTTTTATCCACTGTGCCATGTGTCCTTGAGGACCCCTGTGTATGAATTTGTGGGTATTATAAACCTAATGTTTTCAACCCTCATTTTTTACCAGTGTTCATATTGCAATTTTTGCTTTTATCATCAAATTTTTTTACCAGAGCTCATATTGCAATATTCGTTATTATTGCTTTTCTCTGGCACTCCTTATTACTGGTTCCCATATTGTAGTCATTCCTATTCTTGGTTGGCTTAGGAGATTTTTGTGACCTAGCATATGTGCTGATTCCTTGAGTTTATGAATTTTTCAATGATATTCTTTGTCTATGATTTCAACCTGATCTCACAATGATAACAGCAAAAATTGCAATATGAGCACTGGTAAAAATGATTGCTGAAGACATTAGGTTTATGATAACCATATACTAACTGATAACTGACATTCATTAGACATGGCATGTGGAACTAGAACAGTCTACCCCAGCGAGTGAAATAAAGGGTTCATTTCGACATTCCACCTACCTGAAGAAGACTGGAGTGTACAACAGCAGAAACGTTGTGATAAATATGGCAACAAAGATGAGGACAATGATCCGAATAATGTAAATAGTGTACAGAAGATAATGATTGACATTACATTTAAATTCTTGATCAAAGTTGACTGGGATGCAAAAAGCCAGAAAAAGAGTTCCACAAGTGAGAAGTGCAAGAAAAGAAACTTTTAGAAACGGTTAAATCTAACCATTTCAACTATAAAATAATAAAAGCTTGTTGCCAATCTAATACTGTGCTTAAATTCATAAAGTCTAGGTACCATAGAGGAAATTTCATTGGAACAATTTTACTATGAAACTATTTATAGAAAAGGCACAGGGAAACTATGTTACAGCAGTGAGAAAGGGACTGAAGGCAAGATGCCAAGTCAGAACCAATAGCATTGCATATTCTTTGGAGTTTATCAAGAATCTCTAATTATATAGCAGGAGTACCAGACCCAATGTGGCAGTAATATTGAAAGCAAGAATGAATGGTAGACTTATAAATATGTAAGATAGATTCTGACAAGAAAAATTGTCTAGCACAACATAGTAAACCAACTTTCATAGCTGCAGACTTAGAAACTGATTCAATATACTCTTTCCACTTCATGTCAGCTAAAAATCATTAGTCTGAGAAGGTGCACTGAGTCAATCTCCTGAAGTTTAGCATCAGCCATGCTGATGGCAGGTAAAAAGGGTTGTTTTCTTAGACAATTTAAAGAGAGCAATTTTGCTTCTGAGGTGTTAAAATTAACGAGCCACTCCTTGCCCCATTTAACAACAGATTGTAGGTTAATTTTTAGATCAGCTGTCAATTTGACTTTATTGAACTGAGCAGACTTACTATTAAGACAGGAGTAAATAGTTTTGATATTAGAATAAATACAGAGTTCAGAACTGATAACATCAGGAAGGTCATTTATGAAAATTAGTTAATATCAAGAGTATACTTTCAGAAAAACTTCAATTTTACAGGTCTGAATAATGAAGTATTGTATACAAAATTGTTTGGACAATTGTCCTTGTCTTTTGTATACTTGCTGTTTAGCTTTGGCAAAGTTGTGGGACCATTAGTAAGATCTCCAACATAGCATATCTAAAGAATTAGTGGATTTAATGTTTTCAGAAATTTTGGATGTTATATAAAAATATTTGCAACCAAAAAACAAAAACAAAAAAAAAAAAACTGGTTATTGCAAATAAAAGAAAGTTTCTTGCAAGCAAATAAGAGCCAAATGAAACAACAATATATACACAAGTTACAAGAGGCTTCCGGATTCTGTCAGTTTGAAAAACATGGCATGAGAAAAATGACCCTAGAAGACAAGTTGATAAAGTTGAGATTAATAGAAGGTATATGAGATGTATAAACATAAAATTTTAGAACAATTCCGATTGAGTAAAATGTCCTTAGATGCATGTGTAGAGTAATTAGAATTAATTGATAAATTCAATACATCTAAGAGCAATGCTGAAGCATATAGCATATTGAGTTACCTTATGCGATGCAAGTACTGCAATAAAGTGCATGAACAGGACAAGAAAAATGTCCAAATTTAAGACAAATATGATGGAATTGTTAGAAGAAAAATCATTTCCAGTCTGTTTGCAAATATAAAAGGAAAATAAAAAGCGTGAAAAATTTAAAACCTCCTCAGGAAAATACAAATGTATATACAATAAAATGACCTAAAGCGAAAAGTATAAGAGAAAAAATTAAATTAAATGGTATAAATTAATCAACAGTGTGAACTCGGAAAGAACTGACACAAAGATCTCCTGAGCTCACCAAACATAGAAATGAATACAATATGGGAACCAGTAATAAGGAATGCCAGAGAAAAGCGATAATAACAACAAAAATTGCAATATGAGCACTGGTAAAAATGGTTGCTGAGACATTAGGTTTATAATACCCACAAATTCATACACAGATGTCCTCAACACCATTATCCACTTGGCACAGTGGATAAAGGCATTGGTTAGATCTAGTGACAGGACCCAAGGAGTGTGAGTTCAATACCTGGTTAAGCAGTGGAGAACTTTGAGAGGGAAATTAACTAATATCAAAGGGTTCAGATTGACATTCCAACCACCTGAACAATGGCCGAAATGTTGTAATAAATATGGCAACAAAGAAAGAGTATATTGAATCAGTCCGAATAATGTAAATCTCAGAACTATAGACAGATACTGACTCAGGGTACAAAGCAAGCATTCAATTGAAGGAAAATAATCACTCCTGTTACTTTGAATTTTGCTTATATTCTATGTTTAGTAGTTGCGAGTGGGAGCAATTAGGCCTCACCCGTTATTATTTTTTACCAAAATCAAGTGGAGTTTTAAGGATATATGGAGATTACAAAATAGGTGTAAACTACAAAATTTGCTTTGATTCGTTCCCTATTCCTAACACTGAAACTTCTTGTCACATGTTGGAAGTGAAATATTTTGCCAAAATTGACCTCAAATCTGCCTATAACACAGAAATTGATAAAAATTTCAGGAAATTACTATGATTAACTCTCCAATAGGTTTACTCAAATGGAAGCATATGCCTTATGGTGTAAAAAATGCAAGTGTTACTTTTCAGAAAGCAATTAAAAATTCACTAACTGGTGATGTTAAGAACATAATCATTTATCAAGATGATATATGTATCAGTGCTTCCAGTAAAGAAGAGTTAAAACAGATTATGTTTTAAAGAAACTTAAAAAAAAATGCTGGGATGACCATAAACAAAGATAAATGTGTATTAAATTGCGACACAATAGCATCTCTGGGATACCAGATTTCTAAAGATGGAATTTCACCAGACACAAATTTGATAAAGAAAATATTGGAAGTATCTACACCCACAAATAAAAAAAGGATTGGATTTTTTTTAGGCTTAGTTAATTTTTATAGCAGATATTTTCCAAAATATAGTGAATGAATAGAAATCTTTATAGATTTATTTAAAAAGAATAGTGAATTTAAATGGCCTCAATCACAGAAAGCATTTATAAAAAGAACCCATTCTGAAAATTTTTTTACCCTAAAAAGGAAGTGACTTTAACTATGGATGCAAGTGAAAGTGCAATATCAGTGATTCTGTCTCAAGAATGTCACCCTATAATGTACATTTCTAGAACTAAACTGAACTAACAATTCAAATGTTGAAAAAGAAGCATTAGTTATCATATGGAGGACAGACAGAGCTTATCAATTTTTATTAGGCAGAAAGTTTCTGTTGAAACCTGACCACAACCATTAGTATTTATTTTTAACTGCAGAAAGGAGTTAGTTAAAGTTACATCTTTGAGAATTTTAATGGGCCATAAAGCTCTTTGCCTTTAATGAAACACTATTTTACATGTTGATGGTCTATCAAAACTAAAATTCTACTATGAATGGTTAGAAAAATCAGCCAATTCAGAAGATAATATATTGCACAGGATTGAAATTAATGTATTACCTTTAAAGCATCTTGGATTTGAGACCTTACAGGATGCAGTATTAAGCAAAATTGCAAACAGAATAAAAAGAAACAAATGGAGTAATTGTTCTGGGGCAGAGAGACCCAATAAAGATATAAGGCACAGGTTAACTATAGAGAAGGGTCTTATATGCAATGGAGATGTTTTAATACCACCAGAGAGGTTAAGAACACAGAGACAATTAAAATTGGAAGTGTAGTGGCCTGGATATTCATGTGGTGTAGAAAAATATGTACAAGAATGCCCAAAATGTATGGAAATAAGAAAAACTTTTGGCAAACCAAGATACATTTATGGCCTAAAGGAAAAGAGTTATGGACCCGTGTTCATATGGATGATGCACATGGTAAAGGCATAGGAATATTTTTAATTTTGGTCAACTCATTCTTTGGGTGGCCTGAAGTGGTAAGGGTTCAGGATATTAAGTTCTTTTTGTTGATAGCTTTAAGATTACTATTTCTGGGTAGTGAAAGAAAATTGTAATTTTACTTAGGTCTTGAATTCACATTCTACACCATGACAATCCATTTGTCATAAATGTTGCCATTCTCAAGGTGTTAGGGAAAAAGTAATTTTGATTATTAAACACTAAATTTTGCAATTGGGGAATTAAAATTGATTTTCAGCACTTGTTCTATATATTGTATACTGAAGATGAGAAAAAAAGGGATAATTGGAAATGAAGACAAACATTTGCTAATAGCATCAGGATTTGTGTAATATGCATCATTATCTATTTATGATAAATATTTTATATTAAAAATGAACAATGTGAAATTAAAATATCAGCTGAGCAACAATTGAATATTCTGATTATTATAAAAAATTTTAACAAAATATAACAAGCCTGAAAGAGAAGAAAATTTAATAATTACCTGGCTTGACTTGTTCATTAAATTCAATTATCTTCTTTTCATAAATTTTAGCAGTTGAAACAACTGTTTCCTAAAAGATTGACGAACTTTATTAACAAAAGGACAACAACTGAGAAATAATTAGATATTCAAAAAGCAAACTATTCATTTAGCTTTTATTGATAATTGAAAAAAATATGATTTTTGTTAGATAAAATAAGAAACGAATTGGAAAAGTGTCATTTTAAAGCCAAGTTAAGAAATAACAAATATGAGGTGAGTAAGGGTCTGCGTATTTCTTATTAGTGGTATTGATTGTCTTTTGTATAAAAACTGGTATTTCCAAGGTGGATTTTCAAAGTAGGTAACTCAGTCTCCAACATCTATTTCTTCCCATTTGACTGTAACTTAAATATTATCAATTAGATGGGGAGAGTTTCTCATCTGTCAAATGGATATTTCATCAAACAAATATATTAATTCTTCAAGCATTGTTATAAACCTCTAGACCAGTGGGGTTCCCAACTAAATGAATTGTTTTAGCATTTTGTACCTTCTTCTTTTATGTGCCATGTCCCTTCAGGATGTGGGCAATAACTGCTCTCCACAACTTCCTGTCTTTAGTTGCTCTAAGTAACTTTCAATCCTTTTACCAAATCCTCTTTCTCCCTGTTCTGTCATTCATTCACAGAAAAACAGTTACTCATTGTTTACTCCTGGTTCTCAGTTTTAAGTATGTTCTGCAGGTGTTAAATTGTCTAGAAAACTCCTTCCTTATTATGTGTTTCAGAAATTTCAAATGCATGTTCCTGCAGTGGCCCAGTGGATAAAAGTGTTGGTTGGATCCAGTGACTTGACCCAAAGAGTTTTGAGTTCAATATCTGATTATTGCAGTGGTAATAAAAACTTGGAGAATTGAATTAAAGGGAGATAACTGAGACATCTGAAAGAGGCATGGCATGTGGAACTAGAACAACCTACCCTGGTGAACGAAATAAAGGATTCAGTGTTCAAAGTTCTAAATACCTGAAGAAGGCCAATGCATACAATGGTTGATACGTTGTGAATATCAGAATAAAGATGAGGACAACAGTCTGAAAAATGTAAATAATGTAAATAAAAACTACTTTTCAGTGCCACACTATACTAATATCAATTTCTTTACTATATCAGATATTTGTTATTGTATTTGGGAAACATTTAACACAGTCTGAAGCAACAGCCCTGAATAAAAAGTAAACTTTTTATACTAACAAAATATATCAGACATTGTGCACTAATACATTATCAGCCTTAAAAATTTAAGACAGAGAAGATGGAAAAAAGTATTTGTTGTTTTCTGGGTTTTAATAGCCAATAAATGGCATGATATTGAATTACAAATATTTAGAAGACATTCCTAAATAACAATAAGAAATAATACTAAATATTACTAATACACAAACAGATTTTATTATGCAATTCACTTTTCCATAATTAAGTTGGTATTAACCTACAGATGTTGTTAAAAGCTTCAGGATATAGCTGAAATTTATATTAAATATACCCTATAAATTTCAGCTTATATTTCTTTTTATTAGAAATATTTACAATATCTTATTTTGTGATACTTTATTATGCCACTCAAGTGTTTTATATCATATTGTAAAATATATATAATAGTTTATTTGTATTTATTTATTAAGTTCAGTTCTATAAAGATTGCTATTCATCCTAAGAATCATATAACCTCAAAAGAGAAACAATATATGATAACAATGAATACAGAGAATTATTTTGACAATATGTTCTGAGCAGTACAGATTACAAACAAGTAGTCTTGTATATATATAAAGAATATATAGGAAAAAAAAACAGCCAATATCACTGACACCTGAGGAATTAACTGTCAGCCTTTCATAGATTTTACTAATAAATTGTATTCAAAACATAAGCAGTAAAATTTAATTTGCATAACAATTTTTAAAAGTACACTTTAATAAAAAATTTTATTTGCACATTTATTTTTAATAGAAATTTAAAAAATTGCCTTATATAAGTAAAATAACTTAGCCTTAAAATTTACCCATAATTTAGCAGAAGAAATATCAATTTTACTTTTAAAAATAAATGTAATCTTGGCTTTTAAAGACAGAATTTTTCTTTTTCTTTTTCTTAGAAGTAAACATCTTCTCTGCATGTATGGTAGCTAGTTGGCTAATTACTGTGAATAGATTCAGATTATGAAATTTTTCTCGTTTTAAATATTTAAAAAAAATTACTTACCTTGAGGGGTTTTAAACTGATAATTTGACTTTCCAGATCATCCAGTGCCATTTCATATTGCATCTTAATGCGTGATAACAAATGTTTGTATGTTTTCAGTTTGTTAATCAAGTAATTAAAGGTTTTTCGGTAAACCTGAAAATTGGAAAGGAAAATTCAACATTAAAAAATAACTTTATTTTATGCTAATTATTTTCAATTTTTTAAATATTTTAAGTATTTATTTTCATTTTATCTTTTATCTCTATTATTTTTTATTAGTTTTATTCCATCTTATACCTTTTAGAAGAAGCATTATTATTTTATAACTAGTTTTACTCCAAATCATTTGCTATGTATTATTAAATCTCTGTAATATATATGATATTAAACATTAAAAAATTAAATTGAATGGTATTGAATTTTCCTATGCAATTAGATACTGGGAGTGCTGTCACCCTACTGCCAATAAATTTCTGAGAATGAGTGGGCAAACTCAAATTAAAGACAAGTTGGCTAAGACAGTTCAATGGCTCTTTAATCAAAACATTGTTTTGAAAAAACTTTTGAGATTGAAACTTGCTTCAAAATTATTTCCATCACAATAGACAAATCTGAAAAATATCATGGACTCATGTGAATAGATGTCTTGTAAGTGGATACAATCAAATTAACTTAGTATGAAGATGGAAAGTAATGACATGGGGATATGTTAAATGTGTAGTAATGCAGAGCATTGATTACTTAGTACGGAAGTGTGTTTGAGTTGCAACAGCTGAGGAAATCCGTTTTGAAGCCTACAGGCATGTTTGTGCAACAACTGCCATTTTATGAAATAGACATCACACCTATGCAAATGTATTAACACCTGATGCTGCTGCTGCTGCTGCTTACTATATAATCAGCTACATTGCTTACTAGTGAGGAGAGGTAACTCTGAAGACGACGCTAGTGGTGTGCAGTACAGTTGAGAAAGCGGTAAAGAAGGCATAGTCAGAAAACTATTCACGATATTTCGGCATTTGAGATGGACGGTGGTTTTGATCTGAGACTGATTCCCTTGTTTGATAGTGCTGGATTGGTGGTCAAATGGATGGAAGAGATGGAACTTGTCTGTAGAGTGGGCAATGTGAAGTGGCTAGAACATGTCATTCCCTTGAGATTGAAGTATGTTTGCCATCTACTAGCAATTGAGAGACAAGATGCCGACAAACTAACGATTACCTTATATGTGGTCTTCGTGATGGATGAGTTTGCAGCATATGAGCAATTCATAGTGTGCAGGATGCAACCTGACAAATCTGACATTTATCTGGGAAAGCTAGAGAAGCTCGCTGTGTTGTTTGGAGCAGTGTGCATTTGTGGCTGCAACTCCTTTGCACATTGAGAATGGACATGCTGTCCATTAACCAGATGCTGGCCCATGCCCAGGTGATCCTAAAGGACGACACACTGGAACCAACATCAGCAGTGGCAGCAGCAATACAAGCAACATGACTAAGAGTCTTGACATCTCTGTTGGTTTTCATACCGACGTTACATGCTATACCTGTAATGGATCAAACCCCCTGGCATGAGACTGCCTCAGCTGTGAAATGACTACCACATCCAAGGAAGGCAGCAGCGCATGTGAGCAGGGACTGCATCAAGAGATGTGTTGTTTTTGGTGCCACACTATGGGTCACTTGGCATGTACCTGTCGGGGAAATGAGACAGGGCAATAGACAATAATACCAGTTTCTTTCCTGGATCAGATAAAAAACTTAATTGCAGTCCAAATAGCCACACATAACACTCATTGATTCCAGTTGCTCCAGATCAATAGCCAGCAAAGACATGTGCCAATCATGGATGAGGAGGTTTGTGCATGTGATGATCATCAACAGAGATATCAACACCTGCAGAGTTGGGGTTGTTAATGTGAGCCTTAAATGTGGCAACCACTGATGAACAGGACTTCTGTACTGAATTTGACCAGGCAGCAAAGATTTGGACTGCAACATGAAATGGACAGGAGGTAAAGCACCACTAGTGCTGTGTAACACAATGGCAGAATATCCTGTGTCAAAATTGGTTCGATGAGAGTATGAGCGTGAGTTGCAAGTCTGGTTGGATAACGACTGGCTGACATAATATCCTGAGAAGAAGCTCAGACCAACTAAAGGTTTAATTCCACTGTTGGCCATGAACCAAGAAAACAAAGTAAAGGTTTGTCCAGTCATAGACTATCAGAAGCTGAATAAATGCATCAACACGTTCACAGCAAATGCTGATGTTTGTTCACACAAATAATGGTGGCAGTGGGGAAATAATGTATCACTTCTGGATTTAAGAAAGGCTTATCTGCAAGTGTATGTCCACAAGTCATTGTGGCCATTCCAGACTGTACTTCTGAGTGGGTGTAGGTACTGCCTTATGTGGCTGGGTATCAGGCTGAATGTAGCACCCCTTATAATATGTTTGATAATCAATGTCGTATTGACTCAGGACAAGTTGATTAAACATGCCATGTCAGCATACATCGATGATATTTATGTTGATGAAAGCCAAGTTTTGATGACACAAGCCAGAAGCACTTTACCAATTTTGGACTCTCATGCAAGGACACTGAAAAGCTGAAGGATAGAGCCAAAGTATTGGGCTTGTATACCTTGTGGGTAGCAAGGTGTACTTCAGTGGACATGAGGGAGTACTTGCCACCATTACTTATCAAAGGGTGTTTTCTGTAAGCATGAAGCTTACTGATCACTTTCTAGTATGTGGTTGGCTCAGACCAGTGACTGCATTTCTGAATTGATGGAGAAATGCGGCAACCAAAGGTTGGTATGAAAAGCTCTGCAATGTCCTACTAAAATTCATGCTCACTGAAACGCTTACCAGAGTATGTCAGGAGGAGCCTGCAAGAGAGAATTGGTGTGTGTATGGTGAGGAAATAAAGGTGTGGGTTGATCCTTGTTTCCTGGCTACCGGAGAAGTTGATGGGGTTCATCATTGAAGATTCATGTTGGCTGAGCTGGATGCGGTCTTGAGAAGAATCAATCTAGCATTCCAATGGAAAGCAACAGTGCTGCACTTGCTAACTAGTTCAGCATGTGTGCACTGGTGGATCTGTGACACTCTGACTGGGAGGGCGAATGTGCACACTAAAGCAACCATATAGATGCTAATAAGTTGTCGATCAGCACTCTGGAGGTGCTTACCAAATAATATGGCCTAACCACCAATGTGATCATAGTCAAGTCTAGTGCAAATTAGGCTGATTATCTCACCAGGGGGCCGCAGTGATGACTTGATGCAATACAGATAGAAGCAGAGTCTACACAACTGGTATGTGCTGCAGCCTTTGATGATTCTGTCCAGATAATGAGTATCCATCAGCATAGTGGACATCCTGGTTCAAAGTGCTCCCTGTATTTTGTGAGGCAAGTCAAACCTGCAATACCTGAGGCTGTAGTTAAGGAACAGGTGGGACAATGTGAGGCATGTCAGTCCATAGACCCAGCTATGGTACAAGACTGGGTGGCTAGATATAACAGACACTTGGTGCTGGGTAGAAGTGGATGTGACTCATCTTGGCAACAGATACTACCTGACACTGATTGATTGTAGTCCTACTCAGTTCTTCATCTGCCACCCACTGTTTTGCAAGAACTCTGCCAGAGTCATTCAGTAGCTGGAGTCAGTATTCTTCAAATGAGAACCACTGACTCAGCTACCTGCCGACAATGGTGCAGCATTCTGCAGGAGCACATTCAGAAAATTCACAGAAGGTTTGGGGTATCAGCCTGTGCTTTCAATGTGCTCAATTCCTGAAACGGAATGGCATAGTGGAAAGGTGCCATTGTACCAGTAAGAAAAGCAGTGTTCTGTGTAGGAAGTGATGTATCTCTACAATATAACAACAAAGGATGATGCATCAACCTCCACACCTGCAAATGGAATCTACACCTATCAAGTGTGAGAAAAAGAGTTAGACATTGCATCTCTCCCAGCATGCGAGGAGAATGCAACCTAGAAAATTGGAGATGTAGTGTTGGTGAATGCCCTGCACACCATCTGCACATCTAAATTTGAAAAGCAACACAGTCTATGCTCATTTCTGGTCAACAGGATGCCAAGCCATATTAGGGACCTTCACCCTATCAAGCGGGTGGAACATGACAGTGAATCCTTAGAATGTGAGAGTGCAGTGGAGTGTGAAGACAGCGAGTCATCTGAACTAGGAATCATAGTAGAACACAAAGATTCCACACAAATGTCCATTGACATGATGGATGATGATGACCCACCAGACACGGATGAAGAGATTTCCTGCATCTGATTCACCTCAACAGATGGTCCTTTTGCATTAGACACACAAACCTCTTTGGTTCCACTACATAGAATCACAAGACAGAAGAAACTGACAAACTCCACCCACTCCCAGCTGTTACCTATGTGATCAGGAGATCAGCAGGAAGTGTAGTAACGTGGAGCATAGCTTACTTATTATGAAGAGTGTTTGAGTTGCCACAGCTGTAGCAGGAAAACTGGTTTGACGTCTAATGTATTAACAGTTGCCACTACATTGCTTGAGAAAAAGGAACTCTGAAGACAATGCTAGTTGTGTGTAGTATAGTTGAGAATGGACTTGCTCTATTTTGCATGAAATTGAATGACTAGTAATAAATCAGTCGTTACTCAGTATGGTGGTAAAACTTGTACATCACAGACTAGAAAACATCAGAATAAGACCATTGCCCAGTTTTCCAAAGATTGACCAATAATTACTTATTGCATAAATGTGTGTGGATGTCTGTGTGTCTTTTCTTTCTTTTTCCCTCTTTTCTTTCTTCTGCCAGTTCTCTTTATTCATTTCTCTCTGCTCTCTGTGTGTGTGTGTGTGTGTGTGTGTGTGTGTGTGTGTGTGTGTGTGTGAGTGAAAACTTCTCAGATAAATAATAATACTTGTTATCTGATAAAAAATGTAAGAAAAGATCCGAGTCAGATAATTTCATGAAACTCTTTTTTTTTCCACCTATGCAAATTTGACCTGTCATTCAATCTATAAAAATGCTTAACAAGGTGACAGAGTAGTGCAACTGTGGCAGCAAACAGAAGACATAAGTTGTTGGTTTGTTTGACTGACACTACTCTGGTGAAATGAATAAATTACGGGTCTTTATTACAAGCAAGAAGAAACTGACTACAAGCAATTTTAGCACTTAACACTTGTGAACAAATTTGACTTGAAGTTGATACCAGAGTTCGATGGCCTATCTGTTGTTGAGTGTGTGGAGAAGGCAGAGCTTATTTACTGACTATGCAAACTGAAAGAGTCAGCAACGGTCATTTCCTTGAGGCTGCTGTGGGGGTACCTATGCTGAGTACCATCAGCTTAAAGAGGAAGAAAAAAGACTTTACCAAGATAAAACAGGCTCTTTATATGGCCTTTGGAATGGATCCATTTGTGGCATATCAAAAATTTAATGGGTGCTGACTACTTCCTGGTGAAATAGTTGACATCTACTTGGATGATTTATGGAAACTTTTTGTGCTATTTGGAGGCATGAATGACTGGAGGCTGAGTTGTGCCTTTGTAGCAGGATTGTAAGATGATGTCAGTTGGCTTTTGCAAGCAACATTGAGAATGGATGAACTATTGATCAACCAACTATTGGCCTGAACCTGAGTCATTTGCAAAGAAGTAGAAGCAGTGATAGCAGTAGCAAGAACAGATGGTAGAACAGTATCCCAACCTGAGAGATATATGCCAAATGATTCCTCTGTCTATGTCAATCGTGATAAACCAGTATGTTAAAAATGTAGTGGTCCAAACCACTTTGCAGTAGAGTGCTGGAGTTGAAATGGTGAGAGGATCACAAGTCAGGGAGCACAGAGACAGCTCAGGTGCTAGTGCTGTAATAAGCTGAGTCATGTGGCATGGAAATGAATGGAAAATGGATGTGTTCAAGTTATCATCGTCAACCCTGTTATCTATAAGATACAGCCCAACAAAGACAAGTTGTGTCTGATCTTGGATTACTGAGAATTGAACCAACATGTCACTGCCTTCACTGCAGATGCAGACATATGTACTGCCAAATTACGGAAGTGGTGCCAACAAGTCATTAATGTGGCCTTGCTTGATCTAAGGAAGTCCTATCTCCAGATATGTGTCCTTGAGTCACTGTAGCCATTTCAAATGGTAGTAATCAAAGGAAAAAGATACTGCTTGTAGAATTTGGTCTCACAGTGGCACCTGTCATGAAAGCTATTGACAAGACTGTGTTGTCACAAGGGGAAGTGACAATGAGAGCCACCTCATCATATATTGATCATATATATGTAAATGAAAGCATAGTGCCTGCAGATGAGGTCAAGGAGAAACTAGAATCCTTTGGTCAACACCAGTAAGGACTCCAAGTACCTGAAAGATGGTGCCAGGAGCATGAGTGGAAGTGACGGAGTGCGATTCTGGAACACCTTGCTGTAATTACATGCGGTAACGGGTTTTCCATTTGCAGGAAGTTGTTAGAATAATTTCATGTCTGTGGGTGGTTTTATGCAGCAGGGAGTAATGAAGAGGTCAGCAACTGTCATAGCAAAGGGATGGTATGAGACAGTGAATGATATTCCTCACAAGCAGATACATCATCAAAGTGGTCATCCTAGTCATCAAGTTGGCAATACAAGATTGCAAGGAGTGTCAAACAGTAGACCCAGCTCAAGTCCAATAGCAAAAGGGGAGACGTGAAGTGGATAGCAATTGGTTGTGGTTAGGCATGGACATCACACACTACAGTGGTACACATTTCCTAACACTTACAAAATCTTTATAATTAACAATTGATAAAAACTCATTTCAATGTTTAAAAAAAATCTGGAAAGGTGGATTTTTTTTGTAAAGAAAAGAATAAAAATAATTTAAAACTCTATGAATAACTTTTTAGCAAGATAAATTGTAAGAAAACCCTAAAGTATGGATTAAATTTCATTAATGTTTTTTCTCTGTATGATTTTGATAAAACATACTTGCTCAGAAAAGGTTTACTCTTATAAATCTATCCAAACCTTTCTATAATATATATATAAAAGTGACTTTTCTGAATTAAAATGTTTCTTTAAAAGATTTTAATAGAAATAACTTTTGGTCATTTCATATAGCCTACTTCTTCTCCTTAAGTATTTTTATTCTTCAGAACATAAGCAAGTTTCCTTTCTCTAGTATCTGTTAAAATTTTATATTCATAATTTTTCAGAAAGATATATTAGAGTGGGTTTCTATTGATTTCTCTATCATTTCTCATTCTATTTGACTGGATCAAGTTTAAAGATCCCAGTTTACCCTACTATTTTATTGATAACAGAAGAGATGGTTTTCCAGAGTCATTGGTGTAAAATGTATGCAACAGCCTCAACCAAAATTTGAATTTGGTTTACCAATTTGTTTTTCCATGCCAATAATCATAATGCCACTTGCATATGGATTTCACATATACCAAACCCTAAATAAGATTATCAATAATAATAAGAAGAATAAGAATAATAATAAGAATCATTGTCATGCATACTTACCTCCAGACTTATATTACTATCTTCTTCATCTGGGTCATCAATGAATGCCAACTCCTCCTTCAGGTATGCTTCAAGGTTTTCTAGAAGTTTAGGTTGAGGAATGAAGTTTGATTTACCCAAACTCTCTGCAGTAATCAGCTGCAGGCTTTTACTCCTGGTTAGTTTGGTCAATTTATGGCCACAATTTTGAGTGCTTGCATGACTTGGCCACAGTTCAATATCAGCTGTTTTCATGTCGATATATGGCTATACAAAGAAAAGTAAAGTTTTATGAGAAATGAATGATAGTTACAAATCTCAAGCACTAATATGATAAAAATATTATATATTTTTAAAATCAAATCACTGGGAGACAAATCTTGTAGTTTTCATAAACATTTAATTCATCAAGAAATACTAAATAATAAAGAAATGCAAGATATAAATTTTTTAATGAATTCTTAAATAAAATTATAAATTGAAATGTTTTAAAAAACAAAATATTTGTTTATAGACTTTTTAAGTTATAATTATGAGCAAATACTGGAAATAAAAAAAAATTGTTTCCCAATTAAAATTAAGTCAAAATCATGAATAGTTCTGTATAAAATTTCAGTTTTGACCAGATTAATTTTAGTTTTTGAGTGTGTTTATATTCATGTAATTATAAAGTAGTTTGATTACATTGATGACTCAGATGACCAGAGCCTAACAACTGATCTCTCTTCTGACCTAGCTTTAACAGCTCAGTGGGGAAAAAACAGGCTGGTCACATTTAATGACTCAAAAACCAAACTGGTGATGTTCCATCGTCACCAAGCAGACACTGAATGTTAATCTATAGTGATGAACGGGTGTTATCTCAGGGAAGCCCTGTGCCTTGAGCACTTATTAGGACTTAATCTCAACCCATTCCTCTGATCAATTGCTAAAGATAATGAAAACATTGTCAGTTCCCTGTACCATTCTAGTAAGTACCTGACTCCTACTACTATCTTCTAACATTACAAGAGCCAGAAATGGTGCACTGCTGCCCAGTCTTCACTTTCATGTCTCAATAGAGACCAAAAGTATCTCTGCATTCCTGTGGGTGATGAATTATTTTTCAACCTCTAGCCCCTTTCCCACAGGTGAAATGTCACAGGATTCTTGTTGCTCTATTGCTATTTCCATGGAAAGTGTTCACATGAACCGCATTCCTTAGTTCCATCAGCTTTAACTTTCATGGCTGAAACACATCATGTCACACACATTTTAGTGAACAACCTTTATTCCCTTTGTATTCCATTGATTAGATGTAAGTTCCATGTGAGCAGCTTCTTCCAATGAACTGCTGATTTGTGGAACTCCCAAGAGAATGCTTCCCTGATCACTACAATCTTAACCTGTTCAAATCTAGGTTCATCCCCACATATCTCTATAACTGTGCCTCTTACTCTGTAACCCTCTATCTCAAGTGACTTTTGGGCCTTGTAAAGAGTGAACATCACTGTAAAACCATTTTTTTAAAAAATGAAACTTTTTCTGTAAGTCCCCCCTCCAAAAAAAAAAAATTATTTGAGTGTAGAATTTTGAAAGGAACAATTATCCATTTGGCTGGAACAAACATTTGTAGCATGCATTTTTGCCATTTGACACCCTTATTTGTGTAAAGGAAAAAATGCTGTATGCACAACAAAAAGATATGTGCCATTTATGGAGATATAGTGCCATAGCTGAGTATTGCTTGTGAATGGTTCTCTAAGTTAAGAGATGGAAATTTTGACCTGAAATTCTGAGAACATTGCAGTAGGCCTGCAGTCATTGATATGACCAAAATGAAATGCTGATTAAAGATTACCTGGGTTGCACAACATGATAGATATTTCACATACCTCATATGAACATTGTAAGGCATTTGAGTACACATAGATACATGATGTTTTGGTGCCTTTTTGATGTTTGGGTGCCTTTTTGATGTTTGGGTGCCTTATGATTTAACATTTCTAGCTGCAATTCTTTACTCAAACACAACAAAAACCCATTTTTGAAAAGAATAATCACAGGTAATAAAAATGTAAGAATGTGGAGTGAAAAATATTCTGAGGAAAATGAAATGAATCAATATGAAGCATTCCAAAAGCTGATCTGCATTCAAAAAAGATGATATGTATCTGGTGGGATTGGAAGGGCATTGCTTAAATACAAGATCTTTCATAAAATCATAGATGGCATTTATGAAACAATTTGGAGTAGATTAACAAACCTTAGTTTTTGCATGACAGTGGCAATGCACCGAATGGATTAAAGGAAAAATGTTGTCCTCCTGCATGAGGAATCAAGGCTGCAAACAGCAAGAATAACACAGGAAAAAAATTTGCAAGTTGCTTGTTCTAGTCAACCTGCAATATTCACCAAATCTCATATCAAATGATAATTACCATTTTCGGTCCCTGCAAAATACTTTCTCTGTTGAAAACCAGAGTTGATCAGAAAATGTTCATATCAAAACGTATCAAAGAGCTGCCTGCTAAGTGGTAACAATTCATTTAATCATTTCACCTCAAGCAAGACAATAAAGCCACTAAGATCAAAGGGGTTACTGAGTGTGAAAGAATAAGAAAAAGAGAACAAACAATAAATAAAGAAGAATCAAGAAGACAATAGATAATGTTTGACATTGCATTTAAATTTTTGAAGATCAAATTTGGCTGCAAAGCAAGAAGCATAAAAAGAGTTCCACAGGTGAGAAGTGTGTGAAAAGAAACTGTTAGCAAAGAATTTATGGTTACATCTAGCCAATTCAACTGTAAAATAATGAAACCTTGTTGCCAATTTAGTATTGGGCTTTAAATTTATAAACTCTAGGTAGCATAGAGCAACATTTCATACGAACAGTTACCATGAAAGCATTTACAGAAAATGCATAGAGAAGGTACATTATGGTGATAGGAAAGTGACTGAAGCCAAGATACCAAGACAGGACCAATAACATTGCAGATTCTTTGGATTTTATCAAGAATCTCTAAATATATGGCAAGAGCACCAGACCATATCTGGCAGCAATATTTAAAGCAAGGGCATATGGTAGATTTGTAAATATGTAAGACAGATTCTGGTGAGAAAAATTGTTTAGCATTACAGAGTGAACTAACTTTCCTAGCAGCATACCTAGCAATTGATTCAATGTAATCTTTTCACTTTATGTCAGCAGAGAATGTTAGCCTGAGAAGGTGTGACAAGTACACTCTCCTGAAGGTTAGCATCAGCCATGTTGATAGAAGGCAAAAAGTGATCTCTTAGATGATTAATAGAAATCAGTTTTATTTTGTTTTTAAAAATAACAAGCCATTCCTTGCTACAGTTAACAGCAGATTTGAAGTCAATTTTAAGATCAGCTGCCAATTTGTATCTATCAAACTTACTAATTAGACAGGAGTAAATAGTTGTGCCATAAGCATAGATATCAACGAAAATCAGGAAGGTCATTGATGAAAATTAGGAACAATGTAGATCCAAGGATAGAGCCCTTGGGAACAACTGCATTAATGCAAAAAGATCTAGAAGAGTGGCCATTCAAGACAACTTTAATTTCTCGATTTGATAAGAAAGATTGAATCAGTTAAAACATTTGTCCAGAAATACCATAAACTTTCAACCAGTGAAGAAGACCAGTATGTCAAATGCCTTCAAGATGTCCAAAGCAACAACCTGAGCTTCACCATTCTTATCTAAAGCCTGGTAGCCTCTTTCAGCAATAACAGTTAGTACATCAGCAGTTGATCTAGAAAAGTTTAAGCCTATCTGAAAAAAGACCCAGCAATGTGAAGTGATTAACCAGTTCCGAGTTGATTATAAGTGAATAAAATGTTATTGTATTTTATTTTTAGAAGAATAAAGTTGATAAACAACAACAGAGATTATTTACGATTCAGAGTAATAGAAAAGATTTTAAGAAGATGAAGTCAATATGGCAGATAATATTTGGATAGATTTATTTCACTTGAATCAAGTGAAACGACATTCAAAGAAACTCTGTTAAAAGAGAACAAAATATAAATTTTGTTATCCTGTTTCTTTTCATTTTTTCAACGAATTCTTCAAAAGTGTTTTTTTAAAAACATTTATTCAACAATGAACAGGAATATTAAACTTTGAACAAAACATTTATTAATATAGTAATTTATATTCTAGTCTTTCGTTACAGTTATGAAATAGCCAAAATATAAAATTATTTCAAATTTAGGATGTACCTGTTCAGTTTCATTCAAATAGCATCAATCAAAATATTCTGATGATGAAGTTTGACAGAGCTTGAGTCTTCACATATGTTTGTCTATTTGCCCACTTAATATCTCCAAAAGTTCTTCATCACTTTCAATAAAATCTTGTAGAAAGGTGGAGCATGATCCAAGGAACAACATTTGGGGATGAATCGATGAATATTTTTCACACAAATATATCATGTATATTAAAACAGTAGTGTGAAATATATGGAAAAATAAATAATTATACTTACTTCTCCAAATATTGTATTCATGAATAGATTTCATTTTTGGTGACAATATATATACGATATGTAATCTCAGAGTGCTTTCTAGTTTTTCTTGGAAATTTTTTATTTAGTTCATCAGCAATTTACAAAATTGAAGTTTTTATGCTGAAGATATTGGAATATTTTTATCTTACCTTTAATATGTGTGGACGGGGAAGCTTGTGTATAACATTGTCCATCTTATAATGAACCAATGATTTAATTTCATTGGTGTCTGCATTTGGCAAATGGGTTTCCTTGGGTCTGTGAAGAAATAAAAGTTCATTCATTACAATTTCTCAAAAGATATTTGTTTCTTTTTCTGTACAATAGTAGCATCAAAATCTCCAAAAGTAATAAGAACTTTTACAAGCCAAGTTTCTTTTGAAGAATTGTTCAGACCATTAAATATATTTTATTTGTTGCTTTTGTTATTACCTTAAAATGTAAGCCTTCTACAGTTGAACTTTCTGAGATGGTGACAAATATATTGATAAGCTCTGATCATTCTCATGAATGAAGTGGTATAGATTAGCCTTATAGCCAAATTAATTCAGGATGAATTATGGTTTGAAAAAGAAGAGATGTTGCTATTGCCATTAAGAAAAGCATTTACTAAACAATGAGGTCTGCTTCACCTTGTCTTCTTGACATAAGACACAGATGCTGCATTGAGCAGAGATGAAAATATATTTGATCACAAGGGGATGAGAGAAATTCTGCAGAACAAATAGGAGAACATTATGGTAGTAAATCTGTTTTCTCTAGTCAGTGTGATTGATCCCAGAAAATTTGAATATAGCTGAATCATGTTCACAAGATACTTTTAGAGAGGCTTCCTTCTGTGACTCCTATAAGTGAGTTAAAGTCACCATGAAGGAGACCACTATGAGCTCTTATGTCACAAAGAAGTGTTGTCTGTTTACTTGGTTGGTATGCGAAATTAAAGAAACCACCCATTTGGCTGGCTAACAGTGAAAGATTTAGTAGTTTGGTAATTGTACAAGTGTAGTTGAAGAGTTCTTGACATGGCAAGAATAAAAACAAAAATCCACAGGTTAAAAGCTACAAATCTGTAGATCATAGGTCACAAAACAGTCCTTCACACATTGCAGTGAGCAAGAAAACCAGCACCTCTCCTGCATTCCACTGTAAGTTAGAAAGTCAGTGATTGGTTGAAGTGGTACAAAGATTTGCATGATATTTTCCATACTGCAGAGTAGGACAGGCGGCCGTATCATATGGTGAGATGTCCGTAAGAACAACACTGATAACCCATTCATGAAATGGACTAACCCAGCCATGTGCAAGACATGGCACGTATCTGAACAACACAAATATAAACAAAGTCTAGTGGGAAGCCTGAGGAAGTGGACAGATTGCAACTGTTACTCAAGCACTTTACATACATAAAGAGAGAAGTCATGTGAAACTTCTTTTTCACCAGCAGATAACACACGTGATACACTGTCACTTTTTTTGACATAGTCACCATTTTCTTTGCCATCAATCAGCAATAAACAAGCTGATGACAACACAATGGCAGAGTACAGCATAGTGTTCTTTGCTTAGTAACTGGAGATAATCACAAACAATCAAAATATAGAATCATTGATGCTACAAAGGGTACAGAGAATAGAATCATCAGAGTGGCACGTAATGCTGCTAATGAGCTAAACCAATCAAGTATATTGCCATCATTTCTTTCCTGTTTGTCACTAATCTTATGAAATGAAACCCATTCAAATTGTTCTCTTGAAAGGAAATGTAAAATTGATTGCCTAACAAAATATAGTCATAATAAAAGCTACAAAAATAATGAGTTCATTAGTACAAATAACTCTTACAATGATAATGCCTCTTTTCAAAATTACAGAAAGATCAGTTTCTTTTTTTAAATGCAAGAAGTTTCAGGTCGATGAAATGAAGCCTGAATATGATTAACAAATATTTTAATAAAAGATTAAAATGTAAGTCTTACACTAAATAATTAAATTGACACAAACTTATTTTCATATTTTCCAATGAATAAACATTGATTAATGTGTTATTTTCTTTTTGAATTAAGATGTGTTTATCAGATGTTATTTATTTATACTAATTTTCATGTAAGTGCTTCTATTGATTTGTAAAATATAAAAGCAATTGCTAATATAAAATTGAATAACAATAATATCTTTTTTTTTTTTGCTACATTGCTCTTCATAGAAAATCAAGGGAATATGTGTTTTAAGCAATGATCCTAAATATATGAATCAAATCTCATGTGAAACTGGATAGTTTTAACCCACTCAATGTTTAATGTAGATTGAATGTCAATAGAAATGGCCTCAAATAAACTGACTATTATCAGACAAGTTGATTATGACAAAGACTTTTAAAAAGATTTAAAAAATTGCAAACATGATATGCTTAAAGATGTTAAATTTGAATTTTTTAACTTGGAATTGTTGCAATGCAAACAACCATATATATAAAAGGCAATGTGGTCACAGAAATCTAAACTGTATGGTGACAGGCAGTTTCATACTGTAAATGATTATCAGACCATTTACTGTTTCAGACTACAAATGCACTATTCAGAATATTGAGCATGCTTCAATTTCAAAGAACACACATACTCACATGTATATATGTGTTTCTTTGTGTGCTGTTTAAAATGTGCTACAGTGCATTGCAAAAGTCTACATCCCCTTGAAAACTGGAGGTATTTTGTTTTATTTTGATAGGAACAATTAATATTTTAAACTCCAATAATTTGTTTTAATAAGCAGATCTATCACACTTTTATTTAATACACAAAATACATTTGAAAATGTAAAACTGATTCTTAAACAAAGATAATTTTGAAAAATGTCTTTGAAAAAGTCTACACCCCCTTTGGAATGTCTTCAGCTAATACTTTGTGGATGATCCTGCTGCGTCAATTGCAGCCTGCAGACGCCTCGGGTAGCCTTCCATGAGCTTACTGCAGTGATCTGCTGACAGCTTTTTCCATTCTTCATGGCAGAACTTCTTGAGCTGTGTCAGATTGGATGGGGAATGTTGGTGCATAGCCAGCTTTAGATTTCACCATAGATTTTCTATAGGATTGAGGTCTGGTGACTGGCTGGGCCACTCCCAAACTGTGATATTTTTGCTAGTAAACCAAGCTTTAGTGTTTTTTGACACATGGTTGGGGTTGTTATCTTGATGAAACTTGAAATTGTGACCCAAGTGGAGAGATCTAGCAGACTTCAGCATATTTCTTGGTACTTGACACTGTCCATGACACCTTAGATGCTTACCAGCTCTCCAGGCCCTGCAGCTGAAAAACAGCCCCAAAGCATGATCGAGCTACTGCCATGCTTTACAATGGGGACAGTGCAATGAAGTTGGTGAGTGGGGCTTTTTTTCCGCCAAACGTAACATTTCATATTTTTTCCAAATAATTCAACTTTGGTTTCATCTGACCAAAAAATCTTTCGCCACATGGTCATGGAATCATTGATGTGACTTTTGGCAAAGTTTACCCTAGCTTGCTTGTGCATAGGCTTCAGAAGGGGATTTTTTCTAGCTACCCTCCCTTGCAGGTCAGACCAGTGCAATACTCTGGAAATTGTAGATGCATGGACATCTGTCCCAGTACTGGAAACTGAAGCATTCAAGTCTTTCTGTGTTGCACTAGGGTTGGAGGTTGCCTCCTGGACCAGTTTTGATTTTGCTCTTCTGGGAAGTTTGCTTGCTCTCCCAGATCTTGGTAGGGGAGCAGTGGTTTTGTGCACTAACCACTTCTTAGGTACAGTTTTAACAGTGCTTAGGGGCAATTCTATAGTTTTTGCAATCTTTTTATTTAGCTATTATTTTCATTGTACTTTTGAATAATAAGGTTTTTAAGTTCCTGAGACAGAAGCTTGACCATTTTCTTTCCCGAGTTGGACACCTTGTGTTTACAGTCAGAGTCCAAAGACCAACATACCAAGAAACCATGTAGTGGATGATTTTGTAGGCAGTTAAATCATCTTATATAGCAAAATAATAGACTGGCCAACTTTGTTTGTTATGGTAGAATGAACATGTCACTTTTGATTGTTCTGGATTGTATACATCAATGATAAACGACGTGATAACACAGTATAATATCTGGGGGGGGGTAGACTTTTGCAAAGACATTTTTCTAAGTTATATGATTTAAAATTTTTAAAATGTAATTTTTATATCAAAGGAAAGTGTGATGGATCTGTTTATTATTTAACAATCATTGGAATTGGAAAATGTGTTGTTCCCTGTTAAATTATACAAAATATATAAATTTTCAAAGGGGGTGTAAACTTTTGCAAGCCACTGTATATTTATAGAGGAATAGGGCTCAATACTGGAGATAGACAGTTCTTATATATATATATATATATATATATATATATATATATATATATATGAAGTGCATTCAAAAAGTACCTCACTTTATTTTTTCCTCCTAAAACTAATATTGTATGGTCAAAATCCTTTGAGGGGGTGGGGACGGTATCCTTCCTGCACATGTGTGAAGATTTTTATGCTGGTAAGCCACTTCACTTCCTGGCTGTTATGCCTACAGTACAGATGTGTAGTATGCACTTGTCAGATTTTCATTTTCACATAAGATGACTGAACACACTGAGCAGAGATATTGCACCAAGCTTTCCTAGTCAAGAACAACATACCACTTCTTTGGTAGATCCCTTACTCAGCACCATGTGACTTCTAGCTCCATCCCAAACTAAAAACCATGTGATTCCCATGTGAAGTTGGTTCTGCTGCTCTGCCATCACCTTGGGGACAAATTTCACTGACACACTTCACATTCACAAATCGTTTGTAAAAATTGAATGCCCTGATCCTGTACTTATTCTCACTCTGGCCTGTGGATGTCCTGTCTGAGTGTACCTCACTCTTCACTAAAGTGCAGCCATGTTTGAAGCAGTTGTGACACTCCTTGATCTGAATTCTACCCATGGAATTAATGTCAAAGACCTGATGAATTATCTAGAATCAAAAATGCTACTCTAATTAAAAGAGAAAATAATTCACTAACACAAAAATGTTTAGAAAGTGCTTTAATCACTAGTTCATTCACAGTAAATTTTTTTCCAATGTTTCACCATTCTTGGCAGATGTACTGTCACAATGTGGGATATTTAATATTAAAGATGATGGAAACAAAAAAAAGAATCTAATTGAAATTGGCTAGATTATATAACCAAAACACATTATTAAAAACCAAAACCTAAAACACATTATTAAAA